CAATTTACAATTTGCAGACGGAGCACCAACATTTCTATTGAATGCTTATAGTCAATCTTAATCCACAATGAAGACACACACTATCCAAATACCAAGCAGACTAGTGTATCAAAATTTATTGGGATTTAAAAAAAACTCAAACACTATAAATAATTTAGGAGGAGATCACATCAAACTATAGCACTCTCTCCCAGCAACCAAGATACCACATAAGTTCCATAACTTTCTAAGTTATGTATGACAGGAAAGCTGCCTCCTACATCTAACAATCGTCTTCTTCTCTTTATCACACTATGACCTCTGATAGATCTCTTGTAATTCTCTTGCATCACTTATAAAGTTACAATCAGCATATATGGTAATCTAGGTTATAACATGCACATATTTCAGATAAAATATATACCTTATTCACAGTCAACACTGGGAGAGAAAAAAAATAAACCATACCACTAATTATGCTCACCTTAATACTTAAACATCAGTACAGTCACTTTACTAGCAATTTGCACTTCTTAAATTGTTCGCATAATATCAGGCTGAATTTCATACGAATTAGTCTTTAAGAATATGAACATTAATGTATATTATATGATTCATGATCTGCTTTCTTTGCACCATAGATTCAATTAAAGATCAATGTTTGAAATCTTTGCATGTGAATGTGTGATAAATAGCTCATCAATTTTCACTCGAACTTATTAAAGACTTTCTGTTTACAAATGATTACTTGTAGATTACAAGCAGGGTTTGGGTATACTGTTAGTACCTAATTTGCAGGTAAGCTACAGAGCATTTGTATCAACATATCTGCATGAAACTTGAATCTATGCACAATTGTGTAACAAACAGCCTCTCGAGACTTACTTACACGCTGAACATTGGACAATCTAATTAAATCACATAAACACTGAGGCCACAATTTGTCAACTTCTTGCATTGTGGGTTTAATGTCATTTTCCAAGTGTATATTTGTATTGCTGTTATGTAGTTATCAAACATATAGTAGCCTAATCACTTAATTAGGTAGTTTTTCTAAATCGAATATCTAATATATTGTTACCTGTTTCCTTCCAGTGTTAATAATTAATGAATAATAGCCTAGCTAAGAGATATTCATTACAATTCTTTCAAAAGTTGGACCACTAATTTCTAGCTGGAGCAAATCTGAAAATGAGAATTTCTGGTCCAGGGAAGGGACAAATTGTTTGTATTTAGAGTATAGAGCTATTAACGCTGCTTTTTTTGTTCTAGTAAAGACACCAGAGAAGTTATATTAAGTTTATTTTACATGCTGTAAGAGAGAGTATCCATTTAACATGTTTGTGCATACCTATTTCATATTCTTTTAATCGAGATACATTGCTGTACTCTGGTTATATCCTGTGTTTTAACTTTTTCACATTTAAGATCTATTAACCAATAGATCATTGGTTGTATGGACATTTTTCTACACCTATATTACCATTTATAGCGGTTTGTAAGTTCACTGTGAAAGAGGTAGCAACAATAGAGTAATCTGAATCGATTACTTATGAATTTCTATTGACAGTCAATATTTGCAGTATAAAACTGAGAAATGCAAAACACCCATGGGAGATTCTTTCACCTCTATAGCGAATTATATACTTGCCACTTACCTTTTTTAAAAAACTAACAATTACGCTAACAATGTTCTGTACTAACTTTTTGAAGCGCATTCTCGAGAAGCAAGACCTTGATATCTTAAGAAAACTCACAACGTACAAGTTCATGCAAGCACCGATAACTGAAATTATAGGCATTTCCAAAAATTCTGAGCCAGTAGCACTCTATATCCTAGCTAGACCCCATAGAGGAGTATTTGCTGCGGAAAAACTCTATTCTTAAATCAGAAATACAATTATAACATAATCCAATTCAATTGGAAAGCCATTAACAAAAATTCAAACATCTATAATTGTCCTAACTACATTATATTGTGGTTATCTCTGTACAGTATTTTCAATGTAAAACTAATACCTGTATATCACCAAGTACAATAACATATATACCTAAACAGATCAACATTTAATAATTTTCTATCTCTCCGTGCTACATCCCATGTCTCTATATCGAGTATATAAGTTCGTGTAACGCTACTTTAGAAGCTAATGTGTATCTTCTCATAACATCGTCATAATGTATTATAATCCTACATGTCCGTGTTCAAGTTTTATCTACAACATAAGAAGTTCCCAAACTAAACACTACACAATAATAGAATTAGAAGTTAACCTCTCCACCATCATATCTAATTGAATTTCAGAAGATACTTATTTCTGTTATGTAATATTTTCCCATATTATTAACTCATTTTATAATCCTTTCATAAACACATCATCATTTAAAGACGCATAAGCTAGGGATAGAGACAACACATGACTGCTATAAGAATACTGACACTACTAGGCAGATATACAATACTCTGTGATGGTATGTTTTTATACAGTTGGTTGGGTTTTTGTCTTTCATCATTCTTCAGAGGCCTGTTTGGTAGAAGTTTTTCCTTAAAAAGCCTTGTCTTGATAAAAAGTTTTATACATTAGGGCGCTAATTAATGGCGAAAATATGCTCCTGATATGAGAACGAAGATTAAATCTCTCGTAATGAGACATCAGAATAATCACAAAACCTAAATCATAAACTCTATCACTATTTTAGATTTTCCTGCATTAAAATTATGTAGAAGTTGACCGAGATACCCCTACTGATTTGACAACTCAGCCCCATGTATTCCCACAACACGCTAGTGTATGTTCCTTTAAGCCATAGGTAGATTTAGAAATTGAATTTACATATCTACTTATTTTCAGAAAGCTACCTGTGTTTGTTATTTCATACCTATTGGGAAAAAACTGGTACTGCGCATCAGGACTGGACCCATATGAAATGTATTGGGGATTGAGACTAACTGGTATTGGCACCATCCCATGCTAACACATCTCAAGCAAATGACCATACCGTTGTCATCTGAAAGTGAAATTTTGGTTAGTGGGCTTTCTTATTAATGACCTGTCTCAGTCAGTAGAAATAGTAGTTTCCTAGGTGGCATGCATTTTGCTCTGTCATTGAGTTGTTTGTTTTGAAGCCACTAATTTCATACTTGAAAGTTTTATGGCTTCTTAATTCTTTTTCTTATTTTATTCTTCATCTTCCAGACCTCTTCCGTGCCAAAACTGCCTTCTGGGGAGCAGTGTGAAAATGAGGAGGACACAGAGTATATGACTCCTCCTCTAAGCCTCTCCGCCTCCCCAGACACAACCAGAGTTCACGGTAGGTTCATAACACCCTGTTAGGGCCAAATACTTTTGGCTTTGTTACCTGCACATAGTGTTATTCAGCCAGATTAAGCAGAAAGATAAATCGAGCTCCTAATGTTAAGCCCTCATCTATGTAGCAGTTCCATTCTAATTTCCTCAGCATCACAGTAACCTCAAATACACACACATCTATAACCATCACAAAGTTTTGTCAGGACATTTGTTAGTGATACGGCAAAAGGAGAAGATGAGTCTTAATGAGTTTGCAGATAACAGAGTTTATTCCTAAAGATCATTAGGCACTTCCTTCCGGTTCAGAGTATGTGATTGGACCAGCAGATGGATAGCTGTACATATGAACAATGTATAATATTCAGTCCCAGGCGCCACCCCTCACCGAGAACAGCACCTCTGTAAGTAGTCATCTACCACCTTAAAATCATGATGTGGCTGGGCGCAGTGGCTCATCCGCCTGTAATCCTAGCACTCTGGAGGCCTAGGGGCGGATAGCTTCGAGGTCAGAGTTTCAAGACCAGTTTGAGCAAGAGCGAGACCCCGTCTCTACTATAAATAGAAAGAAATATTGCCAACTAATATATATAGAAAAAAATACCGGACATGGTGGCGCATACTTATCCCAGTACTCTGGAGGCTGAGGCAGGAGGATCGCTTGAGCCCAGGAGTTTGAGGTTGCTGTGAGCTAGGCTGACGTCATGGCACTCTAGCCTGGCAACAAAACGAGACTCTGTCTCCAAAAAAAAATCATTGATGTGCCATAGGAATGAGCCTGTATATTTGGCTAATGAGATAGCTTGATCTAAGCAGTAAATTCTTTTAAAATATCTTTTGGCAAAATCAATGATCCATGGACAGTAACACCTTGCTGTCTTTAATTCTGTTCAACAGCTAGATTCTTTCTGTTTTGGCCTGGACCTGCAGTATTGGCATCTTAGTTTTTATCTCATTGCATTGATATTCTTGTGTGGGTGGTAAACACCAATTCCATGTTAACTAGCTTACCAAGTTGAAAATTCAGGAAACTTGCACACACAGGGCCTTTGCTGATCATCCAAGGGTGAATGTAGTAGTGTTGGATGAATGTATACAATGGCAGATTGAGTCTTGTGTACATGGCTATTAACCGTCGGCAGGATAACCTTTGACATGTTTTTTTAAAAAAAGACTGCAATGGTGGCGCAGTGGATCACGCCTGTATCTACACTCTGGGAGGCGAGGGGGGATAGCTCGAGGTCAGGAGTTTCGAAACCAGCTGAAGCAAAGCGAGATCCCGTCTCTACCTATAAATAGAAAGAAATTAATTGGCCAACTAATATTACTAGAAAAGGCCGGGCATGGGTGGCATCCTTGTCCCAGCTACTCGAAGGAACTTGAGGCAGGAGGATCGCTTGAGCCCAGGAGTTTGAAGTTGCTGTGAGCTAGGCTGATTACCACAGCACTCACTGTAGCCTGGGCAACAAAGCGAGACTCTGTCTCAAAAAAAAAAAAAAAAAGCTACAGGATTGGTGGAGATTTTATTTCTGTTTCTTATAACTCTGTCCACAGGGCCTCACATGGTGTTTGGTCCACAGTAGACATTCAATAACAGTTAAATGAAGTAGCTGATTATATACATGTATAAATAAATGGATACCCCTGTATTGACATGTGTTAGAAGACAAAGTGTTTCAGAAGAAGAAGATAACTTCGCAAACTTTTCTCCAGGTGAAGGGAATTTGGCTGCAGCCCATGCCAGCACTGGCCCTGAGGAATCAGAAAATGAGGATGACGGGTATGATGTCCCTAAACCACCTGTGCCGGCAGTGCTGGCCCGCCGCACTCTCTCAGATATCTCTAATGCCAGCTCCTCCCTCGGCTGGTTGTCTCTGGATGGTGATCCCACAACAAGTGAGTCTGGGGTTTGTCCTGAGTGGCTATGTGTCTCCTAATTTACAATGAAACAGAGGTCCTTCCCTGCTGGCAGTAAGTCTGTAGGTAGAAGCAGTAAACTGAATATTATGTGTGAATGGGAGGAAAGTCCTCAATTAGGAAGTTAAATTAGTCAGAACTCTTCAGCATTTTGCAGACTTAGAAATGAGGCTGTTCCTTCAACTATATGGCTCCTGCTGGGGATTGGTAGGATTTATAGCTCTTCTGAGTGTGCCTATGACAATGGTAATTAAGCTTGAGGGTTCAGAACACAAATTCCTTTTTCCTGGGCCCCATCCCATTGGAAAGGAGGCATGCTGGCTCTGGAACGCATGCTGAATGGGCCCAGAGCCAGCTTGAATTGGGCCTTGACTACTGGGGGCTATGTTCTCCTTGCACCTGTGGCTGCCTGGTAGGGCAGCAGCCAGAGTTGCTGTCACTTTGGAAGTTGAAGATAGCCTTCAGGACAGCTGGTGAAAAAGATATACAGCACCCTGTTGCCCAAACGGGTGGTGATCCCACCCAGCCTTGGCTGATGTTCTTCACTACAACTTAGGCTTATTTTTGTCTTTTTCCTTATTTGTAGAAAGCAAAGTTTAGTGTCTTCTCTGGTCCCTCTCAGATTTTTTTTAATAATCCAGACAATTATGTGTGTAGAAACTTGTTGCTAAGTGTAAAGCATGATGCAGATGTTATGTGCTTGTGAAAGCAATGGTTATTGTTAGTAGAACAGATGCATGTTATATTTAGAAGGTTGCTCCTACAGTGATAAGGAGGGGAGGCTATATCCTAAACCCTTGAACCTGTAAAACTTGGCCTTGTGACTGGAGAGAACATGCACCCAGTTGACGGGAGGTCAATAATAAATTGATATTAGCACGTTGTTATTACTGACATTAAATGAGGATTTCACCCCAGATTTGCAAATATTTTCTTTCTTATTTCTTCTAGATTTCACTGAGGGCTCCCAAGTTCCTGAGAGGCCCCCTAAACCATTCCCTCGGAGAATCAACTCGGAACGGAAAGCAGGGAGCTGTCAGCAGGGTGGCGCTGCTGCTGCTGCTGCCGCCGCTGCCGCTGCCTCACCACAGCTCTCCAGTGAGATCGAGAACCTCATGAGTCAGGGCTACTCCTACCAGGACATTCAGAAAGCTTTGGTCATTGCCCACAACAACATCGAGATGGCCAAAAACATCCTCCGGGAATTTGTTTCAATTTCTTCTCCTGCCCACGTAGCCACCTAGCATACTACCTCCTGCTGCAGCTTTAGTGGACCGGTGAGCTGGGAGCTCTTATGTAGCGCCTGGAAGGGCAAGGGTTCCTCTGGAGACTTCACAGTGAAGTCTTGCCCTCTCTGTGGGTATCACATCTGTGGTTCCAAGATTTCAAAGCAATGGAATGAAAATGGAGCAGCTAGTGTATTTTATTATTTTATAGGTCCTGAGGGTGCATTTGAGGTTGTCCTTCAGTCCCCACTGAGAGAAGGTGTGGATTTCGTTACATGGTAGTCTACCTGGGGAACAGTTCAGAAAGCCGTAGAATAAGTATTGTATAAGTGCTGTAAATCCTAATTGAGGACTTAAGATTTTCCTGGGTTAAGGATGTAGCCATGTGTCTGTCTGTCTGCCTGTGGTTGTGTGTGTCCTTGTGATTATAGGATTAACCTGCTGTGTGTGTTAATCCCAGGCAGGGAATTAGCACAAGAGGTTTAGAAAGGAATCTTTTAAAGACTTCCATCTACTGTGGTATTATACCCAACCCCTAGTGTGTGTTACAACTTCAACACTCCCCTTTGGCTTAGATTATTTTGTGCATAGCTAAAGTCTTATATTTTTAGAACATCCTCCCTCTGTTCTTTCCCGTATCAGCTCCTTCCTTCTCCTCCTCCTCCTCCTCCTCCTCCTCTTCCTCCTCTTCCTCTTCCTCAGTGTTCTGTCATTGGCAGTGGGCTTGCTATGACCAGCTGTACTGAGGCCAAGGAGCTTATGGGATGTTCTTTATTATGTGTGATGGTGTTGGTTTGTTTGGTAGATAGGTGGGAGGAAAAGTACTGTTGATATATCATTATAGTCATGTTTGATACTAGGAGCTAACACTGGTCACTCCAAAGCACTGTTTCTATAGGAACATTGAATTTGTTAAGATGTTTTAATTATCCTAATTACATAATGCCTGATTTGAGATAGAGGCCTTCAAATACATTCCATGCCCTCCCCAGAAAATAGTCTGTGGGAGTATGTTGCCTTGGTGCCAGGTATGTGTTCTGATATAGGTCATGAGTCTTTCTACTAATGGGAGGGAAGAACATTTGTTTCCAGGATGACTTTCTGGCCCAAATACCATGAAGGTTTTTGGAAGCTTCATTCACATGCTATTTAAATGCACAGTTAGTAAGGATTTATCCATTCATTTTTTTCTTCCCAGCGAATTAATTTTAGTTTATAGGGTGTCTTCCTTTGAAAATGAGCCAGGTTAGATTTTCAGAAATGATTTTTTTCTTTGTTCTTTATGGAATAGGGATAACACCCATGGTAGCACAGCATTTTGCTGGTAATTAGCACCTTTATTACATTGGCGCCACACAATGATTTGGTTTTCTTTTGTGCCTGAGGCTTTGGGAATGTAATGTCTCTTTCCTCCTTTACTTCCCCTTTCCTCTTCACTGTAGGTCTTATATACTCTCTTTAATTACTGTACTCTTCACGATAATTAGACATCATTCAGTGAATAAATTACTTCACTGTAGTCAAAGACAATATGGGGAAAAAAAGGCTAGCATTTTGTGTAATTGCAAGTTCATAAGGAAGATTTAGAGTCTAGTTTGGAGAACCAATTAGTTACTTTAGATACTAATAAATGATCCCTTGAGTTTGGTTAGTTCTCTGTCCAGAGCCTTATGCTGACTTCCCTAGCAGTGTGTAACCTTCCTCCACGTCAGAAGCAAGCCTGCCCTTTGATAAATCTGCCTTCCTCAGAATCTAAATCATGCTTTCATCTTCAGATCCAGACAGAAATTGAAAACACTCCCCCATGCCTCTCATCAGTTTTCTTCCAATCTTGTCATCTTTGGAGTTTCAACTTGTTCTGACTCCTCTCTTGGCATTCAGCTACTCCTAGATCTTTTGCTGTTATCCTCTGGCTTCAGAGCCATTCATATTCCCCGAGTAGATAGTACAGGACCTCTCTGATTTGCTATGGATACCTGGTGTCTCTTCTACAGGCAGAAAACAACATAACTGGCCAGGTGAGGTGGCTCATGCCTATAATCCCAGCACTTTGGGAAGCTGAGGTAGGAGGATCGCTTGAGGCCAGGAGTTCAAGACCAGCCTGGGTAACATAGTGGAGGCCATCTCTACAAAAAATAAAAACATTAGCTGAGCCTGTAGTCCCAGCTACTCGGCAGACTGAGGCAGGAGGATTGCTTAAGTCCAGGAGTTGGAGGTTGCGTTGAGCTATGATGACACTGCTGCACTCTAGCCCAGGCAACAGAGTGAGACCCTGTCTCTTTAAAAACAAAAAAGAAGAAGAAAGAAAAGAAAAGAAAACCGAAGAGCCCACCATCAGGTGTAGATGTCCTGGGTTGAGGTGGAGTGGGGGCAGGGGATAAGTGACAGTGAGTAGGAAACAGTAGACTATCATCTACTTCTATAAAAGCCTGTATGTATAGGGTTTTATTTGAGGTAACATTCAGTTTTGCATTTTATCTAAATATTGAAGGCCTAGACAAAGGATTAGGAAAAATGTCAGCAGTTTCCAGACCTATCCATATTGTAATTTTTCTTTCTCTGCAGATATTGCCCATAGTCTGAAGAGCTATCAAGAAGACAAAGCACTGGTTTCATTTCTTTGCCTTTTCAGTGCATCTAAATCTTATGTGGAGTTTATTGCCCATGCGGCATAGGCTAAAGGCAGTTTCATCTTTTCCTTTTCTAACCAAGTACCAGGTTGCTCTTGGAGTCAGCCCTGAAACTGAGGTTCCATTTCCTGGTGTTGGGCTTGTTCATGGGTGATGGGCTTAGGCATTAGTTTGTCAGATGTGTATCTGTGGGCATTCAAGGTTTGGGACCATTTTATGAGGGTCTTTCCTTTCACTGGATACTCTGAGGACACACCTAAGTCCATGCCTGAGATTCCTTAGGAAGGTTTTGACGTAGCTGTTGTTTTGAGGATATTCTTAAAAGTTTACATTTTCCTTTGGCTAAGGCACCAATAACCAATTCTTTATTCTCAATTTGTATGACAATTTTCAATTCTTTGGCTCTGTTCTGAATTTAACTAAAATTGCCCTTTCATGAACAGGCTTAATTTTGAGTTTTGCCATTTTGGGCAAACCCTTTCCCCTTAATTATAAATGATTGATAAGGGGGTCAAAAAACACACTTTGATGTTCTCCTTTTTCTCCTAGTCATCAGGCATGTCACTCAGCCCCAGTTTCCCGCTTTCCCTGTGTCTTCCTGGGTTGCGTTGCACAGCCTGTTTTGCCTGCCTCATCGCAAAGCGGCACCCAGGACTTGACTTTTCCAGCTGCCCCTCCGGTACACCTTCCACTGAAGTAAAGGGCTCTTAAAGTGGAAGAAACCTGTAGGCTCTATGATATACCTCCCTGTAGTTAAATAATAGGCCAGGCAGTTTATCATCTCAGCATGTATATGTTAATATTTATGTATTAATAAATAGCGATCTCTACCTGTGGATGACCATTCTCTTCTACTAGCCCTCTGTCCTCTCCAGCTCTCACTCTACATAATCTGTCACTATTCTGTTCTCTTTTTCTTTTTTTAATTTTAGTTTTTTAATTTTGGTTTTAAAGACAAGTTCTCACCATGTTGCCCCAGCTGGATTCAAACTCCTAGGTTCAAATGATCCTTCTGCCTCAGCCTCCCAGGTAGTTGCAATTATAGGCATATGCTACTGTGTTCTCTTTCTCTCCCTGTAGACTCTCATCACTAGGGCCCAAGGTGTGGTATAGTACTTATTAATATCATTTAGCTGTCTTGTGGGTTTAAAAAAGGGGGGGGAGATTGCTGTTCTTCATACTTAAAGTATTTGTTTCCTCTATAGAAATGTAAAATGTTTTTTATGGTCCAAACAGCAAACATACATATGAATTTTTGTGACAAAACTTGCTTGTAAAAATTAGGGACCAGCTATATATTCCCTTTAAGATCTAGTCCTTTTTGTAGGTGAGCAGCAGTGGTGTTAACGCAGAATATTGTCCTACCTCACATCATGAAAGTTCAGAAGGTTATAAACCTTCTTCCCAAACTATAAGTCTCCCTTCTTACCATTGGCCTTTCAGACCCTGGAATGACCACTGTCCATTGAATAACAGTATTCTGGCTATTGGCCCGGCTATAACAGTTTGTTCATTCAGCAGATGTTTATGAGTGATTACCATGTGCCAGAAATGTTAGCTGTGTTCTTCCCTGCCACCACATTGTAGTTTACTGATGCTGGGGGATTCTACTTGGGCTGTGCTAGCATTTGCATTTGACCCTAAAATAACTCTTCCCAATAAGATTGTGCAATTTCTATTCACAGCTCTGTTTTGTAGACTTACCTTTCTTTATAGAGCTGTCCTCATTAGAATCAGGCCAAGACTCTCTTCGTATAGCTTTGATGGTGTCTGGGAGATTCCTTGGTGTAAAGCTCATGGGTGCCCACCATTGTTACATATCTCAGTGGAATCTGTTCAGTGGGTTGAGGGATTGGTTGGCTCAAGAGTCACACAGTAGGGCATTAAATGTTGGAGCTGTGCGTCTGCCCACAGTCCCTTTTCCAGTTGAGTGCCTTCCTTGATTTTTTTACTGAGCTGCTTGTGTCCCTGATCCCCCAGTTGGGCAGGTTTCCTTACTGCCCTTCTGGGACCTGTCACCATCTTCCATACTATTTGGAATTTGTTTTCCAATCCTTCAACAAACTTTGCAGCTAATTCTGTATTTCAGAAGGGCTGGAAGTGTGGGGGAGGGGTGGGCATCTGCCTTTGGGTCCTGATCTTTAATCAATTGTTTGGTCTTCCAAGAGCCAAACAGTAACAGAGATTGAACTCATTCAGTTCTCTAAATGTCTTTACCTCCCAGAGTGGGGAGCTTAAAGACCCTAAAGCATAGTGTCAACACATCATTCTGCTAGACCTTAAAGCTTTAGAAGTTCAATCTAAAGTATTCCACTAACTCAGCATAAACCATTACTGTTCCTACTTGATCTCAATCTACACTAGCAATCTTTCTTTAGGAATGCATATAACCACTTAATGCACAGAAAAGGGTGGAAGAAGGTTGAGGTTGAGTTTTGGCTTTCCTGGTTAGGGATCCTTTGGATACAAGAATCAGAAATATTAAAGCTTAAAAAAAGGTGGGGGATGGGGGCGGAAGTCAAGGATGCAGGGTATCTCATGGCACCCAAGATGGGAAGTACAGGGGTTCTTGCATGGTGCAAAACTCTGTGCTTTTTTTTCTCCTGCTTCATAGCGTGTTTATCAGCATGTGTGGTCCCAAAATAAGCACCCCGATCCTCAGGTCCACACAACCTTCCAACTCTGGGGATTACCATGAACAGATTCCCATTTGCTCGTAGTTCATATTCTTGAGAAAGAAAACACTCAACCCAGCACGTTGATTAGGTGTCCTCCCCGACCAGTCGGCCTTGCCAAGGAGTGCAGAGACACGACAGGCACAGTGTGGGCAGCAGCGGCTCCTTCAGCTAGGGGAGGGGGAATTTCCCAGAGAAGAAAATAGAGATTCCATAGATCCCCTAAGAAGACTTCTACTCTAGAAGTAGAGCTGCTATTGTCCTGCTTTTTTGCAAGTGGAAAGGCAGGCATGGGAGTGTGTCTGGGACATTGAGGAAATTCTTATTCCCTATTTTTCTTCCCATTACCAGTCTTGGCATCCAAGATTTCTTACCTCCGTCTTTAGGACCAGTCTGTCCTGTTCTGGAGCAAGTCTGTTCCTGGGTGGCATTCCTTAGCCTCCATTCAACCTCAGGTCTTTAGCCTTCTTTCGTGTTCTTTAGAGAGCAGAATCTAATAACAGATTCCACTGTAGTCACTTACCCACATGCTTCTGGCCTGTCTTCAGGTTTTAATGCTGAAAATACATTCATTCTGTGGGCTCGGGGCCCGTCTCCTCCATACCTTCCTCCTCGCCCTCTCATTTGCCCCTCCCTATGTGAGGGGAGCTCTGCAGTAATGTTCTTGGACGAGCCTTCCTGGGTACCTCTGAAACTACTTTGCCAGAGCTAGCAAGGATATACGATAGTTAGAGCAGTTGCCAGGATAGAAATTAAATGTAGATTTCCATTTAGAGTAGAGTTTTTACTCAGAACTAGCCAAGATACCTGTGTCTTTCCTGGCCAGTTGCTTTCATTTTAGTCCTATACTAAAACTTTAATTCTTTTATTTTTTGTTTTTTTAAAAACAATACTTCTGCTTGTGTAAATCTTTTGTATTTCTCTCATCCTAGGTCCTGCCCTGAGTTGTAAGGCATTTCATACTGCCTTACTTAAAACTTTTTAAAAACTACTAGTCATTTGATACACACAGAAGTAACCTAATAATCCAAAGATACACGTTGAGACACACGAGGGAGGGTGGGTTGTCCGACTTTGCATTTGATAGTCTAGTCTAGGCTCCCAGATTAAGGAGCAGAGGGACAGCAGTGCCATGTGCCTTCACAATGTCCCAGGAAATCTAGGTTGGTTCCAAGGGGAAGTACCAGTGTGTTTCTAGGTTCGGGGAAGTAGCACAAGAGTAAGAGATGGGAAGACAGGGATGGAAGCGCAAGCCCTGCGCATTCATTCAGAGTCTGATGGAAACAGTGTCAAAGGGCCAGCTGTTGACTAACAGCTGTTTGGAGATCTTGCTGCCCCTTCCCTACTACAGTGTTTGAGAAAAATGTGGCTGACCACTCCCTGTGTTTATGCAGAGCAAAGGCCTAAGCCAACCTCAGATCTCCTACTGTTTGGGCAGCAGAACAGATCAGAGTTCTGATTGCCTAGCCCCATATCCCAACGCAGTCCCAAAAATGAACAAGAGAGGCTCTCCACACTGTTTCTCACAAGTTCTCCTTCAACTCCTGAAC